ATATAGAGATTTTGATAATATTTCGATTCATTGTGCAACCCTTGATATTTTTTACATGTATTCCAGTGGTTTGCTTAGCAATAGTGACTGAGATGTTGCTGCTGTTCATACGCAATCCCAACATCTGCGCCACACTCGATCCCAAAATCACCAAATTACCAAAGTCATCTTTTTTACCTCTGGGTTCTAGTTGATTTAAACAACAACATATCTTATACAACAAATAGCTCCTGAACCTCCTGTGGTGAATTGTTCTCTGAGAACAGAAAAGGCCACCTCTGCCTGTTTAGTACCACAGAGAAAGGCTTTCCATTTATTCTTTTGTCTGTGCCTATCTACCTTTTGTTATGGGCAAAGAGAAAGTACCTTGTGGCGCTCCCCCACAGAGCGCAGCACTCACAATCCCCTGAACTATACAACCCCATACACATGCTAACACTGAGCAGCACAAATGTTAATCAGGACACAGACTAGCTCTACAGTGGTGGAGCCAAAAGGCCCGACAATCAATCAAACCAAGCGCCCAAATTAAATATTCCAAACAACCAGATGCCTCTATAGACGGGAAGATTTACAACCGCAGATTTAATGAACGGACACTTTTATCGTTGCAGCAAACTAAATAAAATCATTGTAGTATACAACATATGGTGTTTTATAGGCAGTTTTATCCAAACCATTTTACAGTCACCTCCTCAGTCCTGGTCTGCCCACTAAGCTCGGAGGATTTCAAATCAGATTTAACTGTCCTAAAATGACACGTTTGAGCCCCAGAAAAAAAAAAAACTTTCCACAAAAAACATTACACTGAAACATAAGAGTGAGAATATTTGTGGTGAAGTGAACGGTGTTTTCTTCTGTTGTGACAGATTTACCAAACTAATGACGGCTCAAATCAACTTCACAGCAAATCAAATTACGGGCAGATTATTGTATCCTCTCTCAGATGGTTTCCTAAATGAGGCTGTTATATACACAATGAGATAAGCAGGAAGAAATGTGCTTATTCTTCTGCCGGCTGGAGAGAACACAGTAAATACAGCCTCTAGCTCACACAGGGATGTGGGTCATGAATCCCACTTAAATGAACAAATGCAAATTGCATATTAGCATGCGATAGCGCTTAACATATTTACGAAAACTAAATTGTAGTTAAACGCGCCCTTCGGATGAGTTGCTCACATTTACTTTACCACACAGGAGACGTGCTGTATTTGGAAACTTTAAGCAAGCTGCACTGAATATGACACAAAGGTTCATGCACATGCTCCCACACAGATTTGTGAGTAACTTTCCTCTCAGCCATACTGTACTTGAGCAAACAAAAGGCAGTGGTATGTGTTGAAATATACGCTGGAGCCAGACCCTCATCCAAGAACATGTGACATGTGAAGCTGTGCTCCAGACTGCCAGTGATGCCGTGTCAGATTAAGCAGACACAGCTTGCTGCTTCCCACAGGGCTGAATACAACAATGCAGGAGGGGAGCTTTTGCTGTAGCTGGCATGCAGGCAACGCTCAGGAGGGAAAAAATCCCAGCACTGCAAGTAAACAGGCCGAACGTAACCATAACCTAACATTACACCTTTCCTTTCCGAAACTGACAATCTGACATTAACACCCATTTATACTGAGGTCAGTTTATACCCGAGTGTGTAAGGGCCAAGTCACATCTGTGTTAGAGTCAAGTTTATTTGTTTAACCTAGTTATACAGTTACACTTCCAAAGACCTTTACAGGCCTGCACGTATCTGCTCTGACAGAAAAGGTTAATGTGTGTATACATGGGATATCTTAAACTAGTGTGTGTTATGTACTCAGTGAGATCAAGTATGACACAGCTCCTAACTCCCGTTACCGTTCTGACTAATCAGATAAGATGCAACACAGGAGTGTACAGGGACAGGCCCCTCGACCTTTGAGCTGCTGCCTTGTGTAACCTTTGCTGCTGGAAAAAAGTGACACACTCGTCCAGGATGTACACTCAGTAACTACAGTACATAAATCAAGTTTTTTTTTGTCCAGTTAAGACTTTAGTGCATAGGGATGTGTATCAAACTTGACAGAAACCTGGCAGTGAAGGTCTTTCTTTAGTTACTTTTTGATCAGATACTTCTTGTTTTAAATCAAAATGTTGACAGATTTTGACAGGATTGTCAGACACTGCACAATGTTTTGTAATACCCTCATACAGGATTTTACAACTCTGAAATGTTACCATAGCGGCAACCATTTTATGTTTTTTAACAATGATCACAAGGCAAACAGAAATAAGGCGTTCAGGCATTGGCAGGATATAATTAGTGGACAGAGCCTCCAAATATGTGAAGTGAAGCCAGTGGGGAAGTGTTTGCATTCTTTCTAATGACCAACAGGGGACAACAAAAAAAAATCCCATAGCAGTCTTATAAGAGACATGACCCTACTTCTTATTTGATATATTGCTTCAGCAAATACTTTCCTAATGAGTTTATGGTCTCAATTGTTGGCTCAACTGGCAGCACCACTGCAAAAATGCACTTTTATTTTGACGGAGGACCCAGCACAGCGGGAGTGCCAATGCAAGGAGGCCCTGCCAAAACAACACTGGGTCGTCTGTAAAAAAACAAACAAAAAAAACAAAGTTGAACCTGGCTCAACTTTTGCTGAAGCGCAATGAGACCTCATCCAGAAAGGCATCCGACCAATCAAATAAATGCAAACATGTTTACCTTGCAATCTTTCCAATGAAAGATAAAATAATGAACAGAGTTATGTTCACAGAGCTGGAAAATCGTGACTCAATGAGCCTCTCTTTTTTTCAAATGCATTAATCCGTTACTGCAACTGGATTTCTTGCATCATCATCCCATTGGTACCTGAAGCAACACGCCACCAACCCAGCCCCTTACATTTTTTTTTTTTTTTTTTAAATACGGGGATTTTTTCAGTCTCAATGCCCGCCAAGCCTGTTGAACCTCTAACCACACTGAGCATCACAGCTGGGTGCGCTCAGGTAGAGTCCGTTGTACCGGGACCACACCTAGCTGTGATGTAGCTTGGTACCATAGTGCCATGCTGCATCACGGCCGCACAGGGGTGAAGATGAAGCATGCTGTTACAGTTAGTTAGCAGGGAAGGTCCGATTATATGAATATAAAAGCATGTTTTAGTAATCAGTATTGCAACTTAGGTCTTGAATCACCACTAGCATCCAAGCTTGTGAAATGATACCAAGCCCTTTTAGTGAAAGGCATGAAAACACTAAGAACTGCACGTTTGGCATTTCTGCTTCAGAAATTACTTAAATGATTTATGGCTCACCACGGTGTTATTGATTTGTTTTCCAATGAGCGTTTCGGCACTACAGGAAAGAACATTAGGTTCCTGTGGAGCATCTGCATTAGAGCGTTTTTTAACATGGCTTAGGCAAACAGCAGCATGTGAAGCGTACATGTCGAACTTGCTGAAGCTACGAGAGATGAATCCAGCGCAGAGGCCCCGAGAGCCGAGTTGACAGATTTGTTCCGTAAACACTGGCCACAATCACAGAGAGCGGAGAAGGTACCCGGGGCTGCAAACCATTACTGAACCGTAACTCAGTCATTTCCCTGGCACACTCTCTGAGGCACAGCTCGGTCTTATCTTCAGGGCAGCCTGCCATCTCTGCCAATCATAGTGAGTATAAGGGGGTGGGGTCCGGGGGGACTTCCTTCCGAATCCATTCATGCCATTGAGGCCACCTGCTGTGACTGTCAATGGCTAGAGTGAGGCTGAGAGAAAAGAAAGAGCCATCTTCAAGCTATAAAACAGAAAAGGCTCTTCTTGTTCTCTGTGCCCACGTCGCTGACTGTGGATATTTGAAATCTGAGGATTTTCTTGAAGTGGTCACAAATCAAACATTTATTCAGTTTGGTAACATGCGAGTGTGCTGCATTCTGATTCTGCCCTCACCGCCGTGGCATAAATCTTCTGAAGCTTCTAATCAGCAAGCTGTAATGATACTGCAGAGTCTCATTCATGCCATGAGGACACTCGAGGAGTATGCGAGGATCCCTCGTGTCTCCAGTTAAACCCGAGTCCCTGAACCCCGGCCAACACCACCTGTTAGGGCTCCTCACTCCTCTGCCAACAGCCTTCTCCATTCCAGCTGTGTATGTGTGTGTGTCTGTGTGTGTGTGAGGGAGGGAGACACGACTGTCCGGCCAACTGGGTCTGTACTAACAGAGGGATTACCGTGGAGGAGGATTACTGTGGCACCGGAGTATATAAGCACACCGACAGACACACAACCGAGGGACAGTGGATATATGGACACACTTACATCAAACACAAGGCTCCAGCAGCATCCCTGCACTTTATATCTTCTTACACACACACACAAAGTTTGGGGAGTGTGTAAATCTGGGGAAGTAAAGCTGTACCACCACAATAAAAGCATGAAAGAACCTACTTTGAAACTACTGCAAAGGAGTACATTTACACAAGTTTGGTCCTTTTTTGGGGGAAGCTCTGTTGTGATAGTGTGTCCTGTAATAAAGGCCTATAACAGCTGAGGCCTACAGCAGCTGATTGTGTGTGTGTGTGTGTGTGTGTGTGTGTATAGAGAGACAGAGACTGGGTGAGGCAGAGTAGGTGGTTAAACTTTACGTGAATGGAACTCAAACACAACATTTGAAAACTGAGGCTACACAAGTTGCATAAAGTGTTCATTGTGTATATTTCAGGGCTATACAAAGGGTTTAAAGAAAAAGCAGCACCCCACACGCCTTGTTCCAGGACGCTTTTGGGAGTTTTTCCCCCTCATTGTTTTCCGCTCCAATCGACTCATACGAGCAAATAATCCTGATTCCTCGAGTCCTTGTTCAGACTTTTTGGAACAATGTAACACACCGAAACAAACTCTCCCGAACCGTTTCCTCAACTTTTCTCCAAGTGTCACAGCACCAACAAGGCCCTGCTCACTCACTTCCAACACAAAATGTGACTTTTTTTTTTTTTTTTTTGGCGAGGACTCCTTACCTTGAAAAGAGACCTTTGCAGTGTTGTACTTCGGCTACATGCGTCCTGTGGTCTTTTCTTTTCCTCCTCCACGTTTTTGGTTTTGTTTTATTTATTCTTTTTAATTTCACGTCGACAATCCCAAAAAGAAAGTGGAAACACAACAGGGCCGACACAAAACAAGTCTCTTAACGTGGAATCTCAGTCTTCCGTCTGTCCCATACCGATTAACTACTTCACCAGCCC